AGAGTTTGAAAATTGACATGTGTTTCTTCTTATGTATTAGAAAAACCTTGTTGCAAAATACAAAGCTTATCTTACTGTCAGAAAGATCAATTTTGACGTAGTATATTTTGTGCATTTTTCTTCTAGTACTGTCGGAAATAATTAGTATCGAGGGATAAGAGTTCGGCTGATATTTTGGCATTTTGTGTTGATTGGTTTTATTAACCCCCTATATAAGACCCATTAATTAACAGTTGCATTTTATTTTGTATGATCTATATATTTCAATAATTTTATTTTAATGATAGATATGTTTAAAAAATTTTGTTTGATCTACATTTAAATATTTTTTTATATATATTTTTTTAAATATTTCGTTAGATCAATTTGAATAAACTTTCCATTTATCTCTTAAAGAGCCATATTATTTACCAACTATAAAAAGGTAAAATTTAAAATTTTAACTCACAGTGTATGTGGTATGCAAAATATCTTGCTAAATTACGCTTCTTCTCTCATAGAAAATAATATGTGTCCAATGTATAACTTGGTAGCAAATTTACATTTGTATCGAATATGATGTCTAGGAGTTGTCTAAGATTTTAAATCTGTGGGTCATGACATCTTACTTATGATTAACTTTCTTCTTAACTTCCCTTTCTCCCCTTGCTTTGAAATTAGCCTAGGCCATTTTCATTTGTTGATCTGAATATAACCAAAACAAATCTTGCTTCTATCTCCTCCCTCTTCTTTCTTAATCTTTTTCCATATTCTTTCTTTTCTCGGAAAAAGAGAGTATATATTGTGTCTTTCTTTCTTACTCCTTTTCTTTTCTTTCTTGTATATCGTTTTTAAATCCCAATGAATTGTCGACTAACCAGTTATTCACTAATGCCTGATGAGATATGTTCGTACACATCGAAACATGACTGCATTTGTGTAGCGTTTTTTAATTGTTTTGATGTAATATCCTAAAATAAAGTATATATATATATATATATATATATATATATATATATATAGTGGCATTCGACTTTCATCATTTAAAATATCTAATTTAATCAATACTAACAACACGTGTCCTCAACTCCATCCCGTGTAAAAACTAATGTTGTCGATGAATTCTCAAACTCCCTGAGAAATTGTGTCTCTGACATTAATAATAAAAAAAACAGCATTAAATTCTTGCAATGAGCACAAATGCACTACATTCTCTGGCAGACTAACCTGTCACTTGTCAAGATACAACTCAATCCGTGCTTATATCGAACAATATGAAGGACCGAAATAGAACTATCAATATTAAATAAATATTAGAAGATAATATATAAAAGGATACCAGAGGATTCAGTGACAACATGAGAAAGTCATGCGCGGGACACTTTTTTTAATGTGAGAATGTAAAAGATAAAACACCTGACAAAGTTTTGTAAATATCTATCGAGGATGATGTATAAAATTGTTGGAATGAAACCTGCGCTTGAGAAAAGCATCAAAATTATTTCATGTCTAAAACTCAGAAATCTGAATCATTTTGAGGTGAGTCTACATCACCCCACAAATTTTAAATTCATTTCAAGCAGAAGGATTTCTTTTTTAGTTAGGAAACTGAAATAATTTTATAGAATCAGCACAAAAGGTTAAAACTAAGCATTAAATAATGATTTTCCAAGCGTAGCTTAGATGTGGCACAAGGCCGAATGTATGGAGGGCCGAACTCACGACTCAGTTGTAATTGTTCTAACGAGACAAGCATGCTAATCATTACACCGCCTCGAGGATTAAGCATTAGATAATAAAATACAAATTTGAGTGTGATTAAATTCGCCATGAAAAAATATTCATCTTTCAATTTCAGATAGATGACTCGGGACGCTTATTTTTTTGGAAAAATATCCACTCAGGACATTATAAGTCCAACCGCCACTTTTATTTAATTCTCAGAGAAATTCCTCCTAATCCTTAAATTTAGTCTGTGATCATTCTAGAAAATAGCGTTTCATTACTGAAAATCATAAAAATTATTTAAAAAATTTAAAAACTTCCAACCACCAACTAATCTTATTACTTTGTCGCCTCGAAACACAAGTGTTTATAATTTAATACTTAAGAATTATATATATATATATAATTTTTAAGCGAAAGAATAATGCAGCTATCTAAATATTTGGTATAAAATTTTACGTCTACAAAAACTGGTACTTTTTAAATAATTTTCTACTTTCATGGAATACGTTTGATTTATAGATAGATAGTTTGTAGATAGTCGAATGTAGGTATTATTTGCTTTTGTATAGACCTATTTTTTGAGGTTGTACGTTTTGTTGACAGTTTCAGAATTTTCGAATACTTTTCTCATGTTGTTTTCCTTGTATTATTTATGATTCATAAGTGAATACAATCTAATAAGTGAGTACATTCTTATAAGTGAGTACATTCTTATAAGTGAGTACATTCAGTTAAACTGTGTTTCATCTTGTTTATATATATATATATATATATATATATATATATATATATATATATATATATATATATAGTGAAAAAAATACATACATATGCAAAATATATAAATACCTATACATGTATATTTTCAGAAAAAATTTCAAGAGGAGAATCCGGGTAGAACTCATATATATATATATATATATATATATATATATATATATATATATATATATATATATATATATATATGTGTGTGTGTGTGTGTGTGTGTGTGTATAATTATTTTTTTTAAAAGATATGATTCTTTCGCTATATAAGAGTTCTCATGTTTCAAAAATGAGGAATAACCAATTTTGAATTTTACGCATCTTCATAAGCATGTTCATTCGCAAAATTAATTACTATGGAAACGGCTGGGACGACCATTATAAATAAAAGGATAAATAAATAAATAAAATAAAACAAAATTCTCTTAACGACATATTATGGTGCCAAATGTAATTTTTCGCTGTGACTGACCTGACGATGTACGCACATGAATGTCATCATTCGCTTTGAAATGGATGCCCCCACCCAATCTCAGCTTGACCTCTTTCCGAAGGTGACTGATATATGGATAAAAATTATCACTTAGACCCCTTACCAAAATAGTCGCCCCAGCCGTTTCCATAGTAATTAATTTTACGAATGAATATGCTTATAAAGATGCGTAAATTTCAAGATTGTTTATTCCTAAATTTCCACTTGAGGATGAAACAGGGCTTGATACTTTAATTCATTTAATTTTAATAATTATATTGAAGTTTCCGGCTCTCGTTTTTGAAACATGAGAACTCTTATGTACCGAAGGAATCATATTTTAAAAAAAAATATTATAATTCAAAGTCTACTTCTGTATAGTGCACTTTTTTAAAAAATAAAAACAAAAATACTGAAGAACTCTGGATTATTTACCTAACGTGTCCTTTCCTATTTTTCTATATACCTACACACACACACACACACACACACACACACACACACACACACACACATATATATATATATATATATATATATATAAAAAAGGCTTAAACACTAATATTCCACGGTCATACGATTCCAATGGAATAAATTATGACCATGGAATAAATTATGACCATGGAATATTAATGTTTAAGCCATTTATTATATCCTTACTCTGTCCTGGACATTGAGTTCTACCTGGATTCTATACTCTTGGAATATTTTTTTTATACAAATATATATGTATGTGCATGTATGTATATATATATGTATATATTTTGCATATGTATGTGTATATTTACCACTAATATTATATATATATTAATAATATATTTATTTAAAAATATTTTGTTTTTCATCAAAAGTTACCTAACATCACCTGATGACGGAACAATTTTCAAAACATAAATTTTTTCATGTCGTGATTTAAAATATTATTAAAATATTATACTCTACTTTGTATCGAGCACTAATTGAAAAAAAAAAAAGTAAATGCTAAAGAAATGTGGAAATCTCTGTTCTTTCTCTTTATTTGGAAGAAGAGGATTTATTTGTATGTATATATATATATATATATATATATATATATATATATATATATATATATATATATATATACAAATATATATATATATATATATATATATATATCCAAATATATGTATATATATATATATGTGTGTGTGTGCGTGTATGTATGTTTGCGTGCGTGTGTGTGTGTCTGTACCAATGACTGCTAAAAAGTTTTTGGACCGGCAAATTTTGTCAGATTTTAAAAAGTAGGTCGAAAACATTACACATATTCCACGTATAATACTTATATATCTTCAGAGAGCGACAAAGTACGTGCACGCATACACATAGAAATAGACACATACATATTCGCAAGAAAATGAAGATTTCTGGCACACTGCCTACTTGTAAGTTAATATTTCTCCTATAAGTTCATGCATTTATGCCTAATCAATAATACGATCCATGTATTCAGTGCTTGCGTTCCTGCCTTCAGAAATGCACTTCATGTCTTTCTCTCGTTCCATTCTTCATATTCATTCGCCTTCCAAAATAAACAATAAGTTCGCCATTTTTTTTTATTTCAATTATCTTCATTTTTTATATCCATTCAGGTTCTTTCTTTGTCATAGCTTAATTCCCCAATACATTCCTTATACCCGCGTTTTGATCCTTTTTTTTTTCTTTTCTCTTGCTATTTTTGTTAATATTTTCTTTCTTTAATGAACTAGGAGCAGCGTCGATATTCGAACATTAGGGATGTGACAGTACCTCACTGAATGTGTCTATGTCAAAAAGAGAACGAGATTTAGAGACAGAAAGACACGGAGTGGGGAGAGGCTTTAAGAAAGATGGTCGATTAAAAGGGGAGTGGGAAAGCTCAAACAAAAAAAGAAGACTCGTTAAGAAAAGAAAATCTGGTAAAAAAAAAAAAAATAGATTAATAAGTTGCCGGTCATTTTCAACGTCTTTCTTTAATCTTTTGTAAATTCCCTTACTGTGAATTGTTACAGAAATACACCATCCGAGAATTTTTTCAAGCCTTAAACAGTAAAATGAAAGTAGGCAACATTTTTTCAATATATCTCTTTCTCTTTCTCTCTCTCTCTCTCTCTCTCTCTCCTTTTCTTTATCTATCTATCTATCTATCTATCTATCTATCTATCTATCTATCTATTTTTAGTAGATACCTGTATTTGACTTACGTTCTCATATCCTTGGGAAGTTATGAATCCTCTTCTTCCAAGCGATGGGTTAATAGTAGGACACACCGAGTTCTATAGCCTTGGATGACAACTATTCTACTGCAGAAAGTAATGGCAACCTATTGCTGGAAAAATCTGCCTCGTCAGTCATGCCTCGAAAGACACATGATCGCCTAAGCGTTTATCACGCATGGAACATAACTGACTGATATTTTTCTTTAATAAGTTTTCTCGAATATTCAGGCAATATTCGACGAAAATAAATAAACAGTTTAATAAATTCAATACAGTTATCCATTAAAAGTAACATTTAAATAAGAACATTTTCCGTGTTAATAATTAAAAAAATTCCATCAGTTTCTTAAGAAATTTGTTTGCTACGTTAGCACACAAAGCTGAGCAGATATGTCTATTTCGAGAGTCAGAATAAACACTTTGCTTAAAGGCACTATTCAGCTATACCTGACTATCGTCGCTTTAAAACACATTACATCTAATCAAGGTTTCTTCTGGGGGAACACAAGTTCCGAATCCTGCTGGAGAGTGCATATTTTTCTTTGTATAAGACTTCCCGAATTTTCAAGCCGATAGACGAAAATAGATATAAATAAACAGTGTGTGTGTGTGTGTGTGTGTGTGTGTGTGTTAGAAATAGTGCAGGTAATAAATCCGTTGCTATATAATCCAAATTGATCCTAATATAATTTCCCTTCGATTTTTTCATAACCCCAACTTGGGGTATTAGAGTTAATATCTGGATCAAATTTACAGTAACCTTTTTCCATTTAAGCCAGGCAAAATCCGCCTCCCCTTACTGACATTCGGGCCTTTTGTTTGGTAAGATCAAATTTATATTTTCAACGACTGTCGCTTTTTTAAATAATTTTAACTTTCTATCACTGTATCTGTCCAACATTTCAGTCGAAAACTGCAAGCGTATTGACGTTAGCTGAAATAGTCTATACTCATGAAATAATTTTGGATTTCTCTATTATGTAATGTATGTTAGAAATATATATTTATATATGTTCAACCTGATTGAGTTTAATTTTTATGTCTAATAGTTTTGTATCTTGGGGATATAATAAGAGGACGTCATCTATATATCTTCGGTAATTAGTGCTGTTTTGTATGATGTGTCGAAATGAACCGGGTTCTAAGAATTCTAGAAAAAAGCAAGCGAGAAAACCACTGGTAAGTGACTCAATAGATAAGCCAAATTTTGGTTTGGAGGGAATAGTATTGAAAGAGAAGAAACAGTGGTTAGTGATTACCTTGCAAATTTTTATAATTTTGGGAACGGGTCTTTTTTTAAACTACACAAATCATTTTATCCTCAAAGCTAAAAAACGGGCTTCCAAAATCCACAAAGCCAAAAATGCAGACATGACAGATAACACTAACAAAAATTTCACAAAATTCATAATCCTGTCCTCCAACACTCTACTAAACTCACAAACAAATTAGTCATCCCTAAAATAGTTATCACCACTTTCAAGACAACCGAAGATGTAATTAGAAAGAAAAATAAATCAATTCAAATGTCGGGCTTTATCAAATAAATTATTTACAATACAAAAATTGTTTATGTCAGGGAGACATCACGTGATCTAAAAGCCCAAATCTACGAACAAAGGAGAGACTTGCATTTGGAAAAAAAAAAGTCTAACTCTCTGGTTTTGTCTAACCTTGATTTCACTAATGCCACCACAATTAAAAAAGAATATTATTCTTTAAGGAGAAAATACATTGAAAAGTTAATTATAACATTATTATCAACTACAAAAACACACCAAAAACATGAAATCACACAGCCATCTTTCTTTGAATGCATTCTTAAAGAATCTAATTCATATCTAGCTAATACAAATAATAGAGAGGAGGCACGGTGGAGTAATGAGTAGCGGCTTGGATTGAGGAATCGAAGAGCCGAGATCGAATTCCAGTCGACTCTATTACATTCACTTACGTGCTAATACCCTTGGGATATTTAGTTGGATTGATATGAGTTTGCGACCCCGGGTTTCACGCTATTTGTGATCATCAAACAAATTGATTAAATTTTAGATTTATATATGGTTACGTATATCGGTGTTTTATGCTAGTGGGAGGAAAATTTGTCGTCAGAAACCCACTCATACTTACGCAAACATACATAAACACACGTTCACTCATTGGTGTACGCAGACATACATACACGCACGCTCATTCATTGGAGCTCACATAAACATATGTGAACAGTGTGGGACCGAGCATATATGCGCATCTATGTGTGCATACGTACGCAATTGGGCGTTGTATTCAATGTTGGTGTGTGTAGCGAATATTTTTTGTCAATTGGCGTATCAACGCGACGACCGTTCGTCTATTTTGTTCGCTGAATAATATTTTCTCGCACACACGTATATACGTATACACACGCGTTCATACATCTATCCGTCTGTTTTTTATGTTAGCTCTATCACTGATATTTAGCGCTTTTCAATATAAAATTACATACACACACCCACACCCAAGATATATATATATATATATATATATATATATATATATATATATATATACATTTTTACAAATATATATATATATATATATATATATATATATATATATATACATAGACATTTTATATATATATATATATATATATATATATATATATATATATATATATGTGCCATTAATCGTTGAATATGACAACACCATGGACTATTTTAAACTTTCAGTTTTCCCAAGAATATCAGTATGTAAACAATAGAATCTGGCCGACCACGCAGACCTTACAAGGGTTTTGAAAATAACTGAGATGTTCGAAAGAACTTCAAAGAAACAGCAGCACAAATATTAATTTCAAATAGTTTATCTATGAGTTCGATCCCAATGCAGAACATCTTATTCGAAAATTCAAAAAATACAAAATGACCTGTTCCTATATATATATATATATATATATATATATATATATATATATATATATATATATATATATATATAGAGAGAGAGAGAGAGAGAGAGTGTGTGTATGTGTCAGGGAGGAGAGAGTATGGTTAGAATCCGACAAAATGCTAGTGAAAAGATCAAGTAGTAAACATGTTTCACTTTATTAAAGCTTCGTCAGAGATTTAAGATAGAAATGATAAAATTAATGACATAACTTTAATCTGTGTCTCTTTGATTTTTATCATTTTTAATCATATCTTGATCTTTGACGAAGCTTCAACAGAAGAAAAATGTGTAGACGGACGCATCATATTGAAACACTGGTTCCCGTACAGTCATAGCATTTAAGTAACGTTAATCCTGGTCATTAGCAAGATGGGTGACTTCTTGGCAATACCAGGTGCTGTAAGAATGGAGACGCGATTGGTGTAATGGGTAATGGCTCGGGATTTGGGATCGCAGAACCGAGTTCTAATTTCAGTTGGGTTCGTTATATTCACTTACGCACCAAAGTAAAGGTATGAATCAACTTCTTCCCCTACCCCTAGCTACAGGTTATTTAGTTAGAATTATATCACTAAACTTGTATTATTTAAAAAAAAATAAAATCCTTAAAATCTAAAAACATTTTCTATCTTTAAATAACCTGCATAGTGTTGATAACCGTAGAAAACAAATCAGTCTTGCGACTATTGTGAAATCTAGTATCTTCGTCGAGCATTAAAAGGTTTCTTTTCAAGAATATGTGAGGGGAGGCGCCAACCGTTCTGACAATGTATTTGAAATTCGTCCTCATGAGTAATTCATACGATTATGTTTTCTGTGGCGTTTTAAATTAAAGGAAATGGGCGAAGAAGATCTGGTTTTCTAAATGCGAATGCGACCTTACCCTAACGTCCCGACAGATTTGTTAAACAAGCTATCGACCCAACGTTGTGTTTCGTTGTTGATGTTTTTTTTTTTTCTTCTTTTTTTTTCTTTTTCTTCTTAAGGTGGTTTGTCGGTGTTGTCCGAATCTGCACTCAAGGGGATGAACTCGGGGAAAGATGCACGTGGACACACCAAAGATAACAACAGCCAGTGTTATCGGGGAGAATCCACTTTTATTTTTCCAACAGCACTTTCGGTGAGGTGGCTCGACGTGGCAACCGACGGACACTCTGTGCCAGCCTGACGACACTCTCTGTACAGACAAAGAGCACAAGTCTGTTATATATCTGTGGTCACACTGACTAAACAATGGAACATCTGATCTTTGTACCATCTGCATAGGTGTAGATTAAAATAGACAACAGAATTATTTGCTCAAGCGAGTGGTGAAATTGTCTCAACCCAACCGACGTCCCAAAATCTGAACAGGAAATTCTAAGCACCTTCGCGTTTATTGCTATCATATCAGAGGAAAGTATTCAATGGTTAATTTTTTTTGTTTCGTTTTGTGCAGATGCATAGCTATGTAGCTTAATTTGACAAAAGTTTACGCTTATGAGATAGTCTGTGGTTGGCTACGTGTCTATTTTTCTCAAATCTTTGTGGGAGCATAAAAAACTAATGTCTTTCGTGTTTAATTACAACAAATTTAATAGTAAATAACATGTTTAAATAAAACGATACAAAATCTCAAGATTTCAAACATAATCTCTTTTCTTCTCAATGGTGGCACTCAGCCCTTGAATGAGGCATGTAAACTCATGATTGCTTTTCAGCTATTTATGGTAGCCTCTTTCATCTCCCCGTTAAAGAACCGGTATAATCTGATTGTCACACGCATGAGCAAAAAAAGAATGAAAAATTCAAGATGCTAAGTCATCACTCTATAAGGCAGGAGTGGCGAGACTTTCTCTGTGATAACTTAGTCCGTCATTCATTTTCTACGGTTTATCCACCCTATGTAGGTTATTTAAAGCCACAAAATAGTTTACATTGTAAGAATCTTTTTTGAGATAATAATTGTTTATTGATTTAAGTAATACTAATTAACCCATAGCTGGGGCCAAAGAGGTGGGATCATACATTTCCCAAAGATATTTTGGCCTA